CAGCGGACCTCTTCCCTGACCACGTCGAACTGCATGCTCCAGGGCTGTATGCAGCGTTTTGTGAGTTCCCGCTTGTTCTCACACAACGACGGTAACTTGCCTGGCGAGTCTGACTCCATATTCTCGGCTCGCGACTTATTGATCTTCAGCTGCCTCGACTGTTGTGCTAAACCCGACCTGGACTCCAACGGCCTTGACAGACTTCCCATTGTTGTGAACTCCTTCTATGCTGGCTGCTGTAACGCATCCGCGCTGGACATCGTGGGCCTTCTCTTCGCCACAGGGACGCGGGGTGGCGTCGAAGAAGCCCTGGATCGGTTCTCTAAGAAGCGGGAGAAGCATCCTGGCAAGCGTCCATGGTAGCCCGCGTGCACACGTAGGCCCTGCAAAACGAATGCAAGCCCCGCAACCAAGAACTGTTGCCAATACAGCAGACTCCGCAAACTTGCCTTATTGTGTAGGCTGTCTGATATATCCACGGTACTTGTACCCACGGTCTTCCGATCGGCATGACGGGCCGCTGGCGTGATTAGAAGGGTGCACGCGCCCTTGGCCCTGGCACTTGGCCAAAACGGCTTGGGACAATATGGTCACGTTGGGAGGGGGGCGACAGATGAGTGGGGACGATGGAGAGACGGGAGTGGGGCGGGGGTAGAAGGAGCGAGGGGAGCGCCCTTCCCCTTCCCTTCATCTTGGATGCTCGTTCTGGGGGCCTTCCTGGAGCCACTCGCTCCACTCGTGCGTCGAAGCTGCGTCCAACGTCAGTCGAGTTGGGTCGACCCTGAGTCCAACCTGAGTCGAACCTGAGACGAATCTGAGTCGAATCTGAGTCGAATCTGAGCCGAACTGGGGTCGAACAGATCCGTTAGGTGGGCTCCAGGAAGGTCCCCGAAACGAGCATCGAATTCGTGGTCGATCCTGGGGGGAGGAGGAGGAGGAGGAGGAGGAGGAGGAGGAGGAGGAGGAGGAGGAGGAGGAGGAGGACGAGGAGGAGGACGAGGAGATCCCTCCCTCGACAGAGGAGGAGGCACAGCATCCCCTCCCCCTCGCCCTCCGAGGGCGCGTGCAGGTCCTGCGTCGGCTCACGGCCGCGGGGCGCCGGGACCTTCTCCTGCTCCGGCGCGCCACCGCCGCGCAGGCAGGGGGGGGGAGGGAGGGAGGGAGACGGGGGGGGCAGGGAGGGGAGGGGGGGAATGCGGAGGTACAGTCGGGGCGTTGACCTAAGGAACCCTAAAGAAGGAACGAGGCCCCTTTTGTCCATGGGTTGACCCTCGATTTCCCGTCGAAGACAGAAGGAAAGCCTGAGGCAAGCTGTGACACACTTCAGGAACGCGGAGCCCCTCCCCAACGAAAAGGGTTCCTTCTTCAGGGCCCCGACTGTAGGGGGAAGGGGAGGCGGGGAGTGGAGGGGAGGAGACGGGGAGGGAGGAGGGGGGGGGAGGAGGGAGGGGAGGGGAGGAGGGAGGGGGAGGGGGGAGGGGGGGAGGGGAGGGGGGAGGGGGGAGGGAGGGGAGGAGGAGGAGGAGGGAGGGAGGAGGAGGAGGGGGAGGGGGGGGGGGGGGGGGGGGGGGAGGGGCAGGCGGGGTGCGCTCGCGTCATATCTGACGTTCTACCCCTCCCTCCCATGCCTTACCATGGCGTGAATCTCTTCTCTATTCGCACAGTCGGACGTCGAAGCATGGCATAGCATTACTTACATGGCATAGAATGGTGTTGAAGATCAACGCGTAGCATGACATAGCATGGCGTGGCGACGCCCCAAAGTGTGTGGGGGGGGGGGCCGCCCCGACGCGGGCCTCCGGGCTCTCCTTGTCCACTCGCCGCTTCCATCCTGCATCGAGAGGAACGGCCAGACAGGCAGACCCCCCCGCCCCCCTTTCACCGCCATCGCGACCAAGACCCCCCCCCGGCCTCGCGGGGCTCTACCCTTTCCTTCAGAGGGCTCACATGCACCTTCATCTTGCTCCCCAGATACGATGTCCTCGGACATGGCAGATGATGTCGCCTCGGCCTCTGCAACTTCGGCTCGTAACTCGATGGCTCTCATTTCTCCCTCCAATTAATTCCCCGGGCGCACTTCTTTCCAAGACAAGCCTTGCGCCTCGCTCTTTCTCTTCCTCTGATGCCTAGCTCTGCGATCCGCGATCTCTTCCTGATTCCTAGCTGCCCTAGCTCCGGCCAAGCGGCCCGGCGGGATGCCTCCACGGCGATTCGCCCCCCCGCTCTCCACGCTCGCGTCTCCGTTCGAGCGCCTTCGCCCGCGGCTCCGCGCCCGACTCGCGCCGCTTGCCCCGCCCCGCTACAGCGCGCGCCGCTTGTCCAGACCTCCTGCGTCGACTGCCATTCCAATCTTTCCGGGGCCGTTCTTCCTCTGCGCCCCCCCCGCGACCTGCCGCGCAGGCGTCGGCCCTGACCTCCTCGGCGACGCGGGGGGCGCGCCCCCTCCCCCCCGCGTCGACGCGGATTGCGCAGCGCGACCAATCCACGCGCCGCGCCCGCGATCGCAAGTTGCATCCTGCAGGGCCGCCATCAACTGCCGCCGCGGCCCCGCCGCCGCCCGAGGCGGCGACCCCGGCGCCCGCCCGCTGAGATATCGCAGGGGCGGCAGAGAAACCTGCCCCTGTCAGACTAGATTTCCTTCCAATCCAGCTCCACTGCCAATTTAGCCCCCTCTGGTCTGGCGCGCCTAGGCCCGCGCAACGTCGCTCGGGCCCCCCTGGCCTCGGCCATTGCGGCACCTTGCCTAGGGCCCCGACATCTCAGCGACCCGGGCGGCCGGCCCCGCCCCCCGTTTGGCATGGGCAAGGGGCCCGCGTTCGAATGGAATTAAACGTTGTTCCGCGACCCGCCCGGCCCCTCGCCCCAGCTTCGGCTCGAGCCTTCTTGGCCTCAGCACCGGCCCGGCTTTCGGCGATCTCGACGTCGGCCCTGACGCGGGCCCCCCCAGGCATCCCTGGGCCGATTCGAGTCGCTGCGTCAAAGTTCGCGACCCCCCTGTCACCGCGAGAATGCGATCACTGAATACCTTTGCTGATTGGCCTGCCGCGCTGCGTTTCGCAATGCGGTGCAATTTCGGCCGGCATGCGCAACGCGCCCATCGCGCTGGAAGTTCACGCCGCGTTGCCTGCGAGCCCCCGAGAACCCCGTGCGCGCGGGCGAAGCGCGCTTCCCCGACTGGCCTGGGCGTTGACATTCGGCTGCGTCCCCATGCTGCTTAACCTTGCCCTTCTGGCGGGATTCGCTGCGATGGCCACCTCGGCCTCTCTCTTATCTTCTGCCATGACAAGCTTGCCCAGACGGGCGCCGCAGACCTCTGGCGGGGCACCGCCGATCTCGGGCGGTTGCGACGGCGCGGGGGGATGTCTCCTTGCGACATTCGTGCATCCTTCAGTCCCACCGTCTTTTCATGCTCTTATAGAAAAATGGGGCAATAATTCTGCGATTGTTTGCCCTCGCGCCGTCGTGGAGGCAGGGCTGGCCGAAACCAGTGCTCAGCAGGGGGGGCGCGCTCTCTGTGGCATGCAGGGGGGCATTTTTTGGTGACCCTCTTCGCTGTTCGCATAAACCCTGCCGGAAAATATGCGATTCGAACTTTCTGCGAGTCGCGCTCACCGCCGGCCGAAGGACCGGCGCAACGATAGCTAAAATCATGCTGGCCCGCCCCCGCATCGTCTCCATCTTCTGGGTCGAACAGGCGATCGTTTTCATCGTCAGTAACGATTTCTTCACGCTCCATTTCGCCCGCGTCAATTTGAACTTCTTCCATTACAAGTAAATTAACACCGTCAATCCTGACCTGCCCTTCCGATGGGAGGGCCACCCCCATATTTTGCAACGTGCGCTCCCGGAGCATTCCGCTCGTCTTTCGACGGCGATGCCGCAACATCGACCGTCTGTTTTTGGTTTAAGATCGCCTTCTGTCTGACTATTGCTCGACATTCCAAGCAGTCAGTCGGGGAATAGAGGAGGCCTGCAACATCTGATCGAGATCTCGCAGGGACTCTCGTCCACTCACTGGATCGATCATTTCTGAATTCTGAATTTCCCCCCGAAGATCCCATATAATGTGGTGCACAGTGGAGCCCTCCCAGAGCGCAAACTTCGCGAGGTCAGCAAAACTCTGATCTGCCATGTCGCATCCGCTGCCCGCTGCTTTGCTCATGATATTGCAGCTGCGGTGGCATTGACCATTCCGTTCGACGCAGTGAAAATCACCAGCACTCTTTCGGATGATAGATTATCTTCGGTGATATGATCACTATAACCTGACACATGCGATGTCTGCTCATCCTCGTTTCCTAGCTCCGTAAACCCCGTCACGAAGATATTTCGGATGATGTGATATTCAATATGACGGACGACATAGCAGCACGACCGCGCGGGCGGCGCTCGCTCCTTTTTTGCCTGTAACGAAGCGCTGGCTCCTTGAGCCTCAAAGAAAGACGGAGGCAGCGAAGGTAACGACTGTGTCCCGATGGTGACCCGATGGTGTCACGATGGTGTCCACATGGTGCCCCGATGGTGCCCTGATGGTGTTCGATGGTGTCCTGATGGTGCACCAGTGGTGTCCCAATGTTGCCACGATGGTGTCTCGATTGTGGTTCCGATGGTGTCCCAATGATGATGATGTCCACATGGTGTCCATCATGCGTCGTGACCGGCATCGCCATCGTGCATCGTCACCGGTTTGCGAGCGAAACACCAGCATCGTCCCCACCACAATCAACGCAGTTATCATCAGATGTTTTCTTCCCCCCCTCACAACCTCCTTATCACCGGAAGATTGATCGTATAGGTACGGATATTAGTCAGCACGGGCGGTCTTGGTGAAAGCGTCGGCAGAACGAGACCACAGCTCAATACTAGGATCCGGGGCAAGCTGATTGAGTCATGTGACGCGTCGGCACGCGCGCGCGGTCATCGATGTCCCCGCGCGCGGCGCGGCCATCCTGGTCCGACTCTTCTCCGATGAAGAAGGTACCCGGCACAATCGGATTTCC